CTGGGGGGTTTATCTCTTCCAGTGGCATCCGAATACCAATGGCACTGGGCTCACTGGCCAGATGTGGATTCAAGCCCAGGGTCTACACCGTGGTGGGCAGATGAGATGGAACACAAAATTTAGTTCTCCCCCTGGGAGGTGGCTGGAGGAAGGGAGCAGATGGACCTGCCATAAGTCTTGGAGGGACATAGCCAAGTCAGGTATCTTTAATGACCTTGGCAGTGAGGAGGGAGGGCAAAGGGAGGTGGTGGGGCTGAGATTCGGTCCCACAGTCCTTTGTCCATCAGGCATGAGAATCAGGATTCCAGTAGGAAACAGAAACCCACTTAGATGGGCCACTGGGAAAGACGAGGGTGAAGAGACTAGTTATAGGGGCAAGGGAGCAGGGAAAATGCCCGGCCCAGGGTGGGCACAGGGGAGTGGGGAGGCAGCCAGTGCTGGCCCAGGCAGGAGCCAGAAGAAACACCCACCCTCCTCATGTTCATACCTCTGATTGGCTGGGCCCCTCTAGTAGTCCAGCCTACTGGGAACCCAGATGATGCAGTGCATAGGGGTCAGCCTGCGGGGCCATAGGGGTCAGCCTGCGGGGCCATAGGGGTTAGCCTGCGGGGCCAGATGCACCCAGCCGGGGTGGGGCAGACAGAGATGCCAGCACAGCAGAGGACTTTCCCTTGGGGCCAGTTTGGTTGGCAGCTTCCTGACCACACCTTTGATAGCCAAGAGCCAAGACTAGAACCTCCCCCGGTAATACTGGGGGCTGTATCTGGCCTTTCTAGGTGATTGAATTCTCTCATCTGGCAACTTTCCAAGAAGAAGGGTGGCTCTAGACCCCTAATCTGTAACCCTTCTTAAGGGACCAGGGTTTGGGCCTGGACTTTAGCTCCCCAGGGTCTGTCTCCTGGCCGTAGAGACCCTGCCTTCACAGCTTTGTGCCTGGAAAAGTTGCTAAGAGCTGTGAATGACTGTACATGGACTTGTCATCAGTTCGTTGTGCACCTAAAACAAAGTTATCCCTTACCGGGTGGTGTCCTGAACATGGCTGATGCTGTCGCCCCCTTCCCGCATGTGAACCACACACTGGTGAGGGTGTCCCCCTGCCCAGGTCCACAGGAAGTAGGACTCGAATGAAGTGTCTCAGCCCTGGACAGTGTCTAGGTCAGGCCTCTTCGACAGCACCTGGTGTTCACAAGATTATGTCAGCAGGAACTTTAAAGCGTGACACAGCTCCTCATGATGGGCAATGCGAAATGTACATATCGGGCGTCTCCAGCGTCTGGGCATCACCATCTCCCCAGGTAGCTGCTCACCACCGCCCGCTCTGCACTTCTCTAGGTCTCCGTAGACACACCCGTCATTAACGTCGTATTGATTTGTTACTATGCAGCAATGTGATACTCAGCTGGGACGGGAGGGCTACATTGACCTCTTCATATGTGTGGCCTTGGAGCCCACCAGACAGAGGCTAATGACCCAGCTCTGCCTTCACGTGCTGTGCGGCACCGGTAACTTAAGCGTGAAATAACTGTACTCTTCTGAGACGTAACTTTCTCACCTGTACACGTGGGGATAATATTTGTAACTGCCTCGTCCGGCTGTTGTGAGGCGTCAATGAAATGATGGATTAAATTCATAGGCCAGCACCGGCCCCCGTTCTCGTCTGCGAAATGGGAATAACCGTGACTCCTCCTGCATAGGGCCATTGTCAGAATTAGATTAGCTGATGCCTATGAAATATCTGGTGCCCAGACAGCGGTCAGTAACGGGAGGTCTTATCCATGTAGACAGACATAGCCTCGAATCTACACGTATTTATTTTACAATTCCATTGTGACCTCTTAGTTCGGTAACAAAATCATGAACCAACAACTCTTGCTCAGGTTACATAACTCTGGAGGTAACAGAAGACTCCTGGGGGCTGACTGCTCCAGTTCTCCCTGCGGGTCGGCTGGGTTCCATTTTCATTTCTCCACTGCAATGTTACATCTCCTGAGATGATCCAATCGTTTGAACACGAAACCAAAAGCAAAAAAGCAGCTCTGCATGGCAGGGGAGCCGAGGAAAACCACAGGAGAGTCTGTTTGCACAGCCGAGGGGAGCAAGTCCCTGTGTTGTTTCCCAGGAGCTTAGAAGGGGCCCCCAGGGATGGCAGTCCAGCCATTGTGAACTCAAGGGCGTTGGGAATGGACAACACTCCTTATTTCTGCCCCAGCTCCAAGGCTTGTCCTATAGGCCAGCAAAAGCTTCCATCCCACTTCTGGGGAGACCAGGACCAGACTGGGGAGCCGGTTCTCCTAAATGCATTCGTTTCCAGGCCCGCCTTATAAAGTGTAAGGAACATTTCTTTAAACGCTGTGGCTAAATATAGCAGGGGCTTGGTCAGTTGGAACATTTTTAGAAAGCACATTACAAATCAGGAATGCTTTGGAGAAATAAATAAACTTTCCCACATTTTTGGACTTCAAGTCGGCACTGGGGGCTTCATCTTGAGAGCATGATGGGGGGAGGGTGATGAATAATTCATGTTGGGCTCTCGCTGGTGCCCTGAGTGCACTGGGGGCGACTCCTCCTTTGCGCCCTGGGTGAGGGGTCAGAGGACAGGATGGGTGGGGGTGGGGAGACACTGCCAGGTTCAGAACCACCCAGAGTCTGGTCTGAATAAGGGCCACACAGTGACATAGGAAGTGGGAATTACAGAGAAATGAATCTATTTCCAGTGCGTTTCATTTCTTGTCTCCGCTGTTTGTTCTAGTGCTCACTGGACTTGCAGATGAGATGAGAGCAAACCAGGGGGCCGGGCGCTCCTCTGCTGCAGGAGCCTGAAGCTCTTGCCCCTCCCAGTGCCGTGACCTATCCCAGGGATCCCCATTGTGGTGGGACAGGCGGTGCGTTTCTTAAAGCTGCTCAGGGAGAGTCCGTTCTGCAGCCAGA